CCTTGACCTGCTGGGCTCCGGCGATCTTTCCGCCTCAGCCTTCCAAGTTGCTGGAACTACAGGCACACACTACCATGCCCGGCTAATTTTTGATTTATTGTAGAGACGAGGTCTTGCCAAGTTGCCCAGGCGGGTCTCGAACCCGCGGGCTCAGGCAATCCACTCACCTCAGCCTCCCAAAGTGCGGGATTACAGGCTGAGCCACTGAGCCCGACTTGAGAAACATCTTATATTCTGCTTTTAAACTGTGACTTTATATTAGCATTTCTTTTGTGATAAATTAGCCTTTACAAACGTCATTTTAAGACTAGATAATATTCTGTACTATCATTTCTCTTTGCTCTATTATTGAAAAATAGGTTTGAGTCTCTTTTTCATCATTAGAAATAATAATGGATAGGATATTTGTCTACATAAATCTTGGTCAATATCTAATTATTTCTTTAGAATAAATCCATAGAAGTAAGATTGTGGGGTCAAAGTTTTTTTTTTTTAAAAATTTTTAATAGTTTGCTAAAATAATGACCAGAATGGTTGCATTGGCTTATACTCCCACATATGAAGCTTTTAACCTCTTCTTTGTTTACTGTTTTCTAGCCTCCTTCTTTAATTGGATAATAGATTATTTATGTTTATCTTTCTATACGCTATTATTTCTAACAGTTGCATAGTATTTTATTGTATGTACACAGCTTATTTAACATTTTTTCAATAATCTAAGCAGTATCATGCTGAATGTTCTGTACATTTATATTTGTTGTACTTTAATTATTTTCAAAAGTAGAATTGCTGGGTCAGAGGTTTGCACATTTTAAGTTCTACAATGTATTGCCAAAGGTTGCAAACACTTTTTATCCCTTGTGTTTGAATATGTCTGGTTTTCTATACCCTTGACAAACCAGGTATTACAGGCTTTAAATAGTTATCAATCTGATGGGTGGACTCTGGTGCTTTAGTCGTTTTAGTATGTCTGTCATTTATTACTAGTCATGTTAAGGCTATTGAGTTTTTAGTTCTTCATTTTCTTACTGGCTTGTAAGAGCTCTATATAAATTATATTTACTTTTCTTGACACACGTAGTACAGATATATGTACTGTACAAGGAGTGACCCCAAAACCCGGAATTTACTTATTAAAAATTGTATATTTATTCTTACATGTTTAAACTTCAGTCACCTTCAAAGTACTCTCCTTCTGATATTTTTTCCACTGCTCAAAACAGTTTTTGAACTTGTCAATATTGATGCCTTTTAGTGCTTCTGCCATTTTTGTTTCACTTCCTCCACAACAGCAGAAGCAGAATGTTTCCATCTGAAGACTTTTTACATCCGGGGAAACAAAAAAGAGTCACTCAGGTCAAGATTGGGTGAATGGGGGTGGGGGGGCACAGGAATCATGCTGGTTTTTGTCAAACACTGCTGAACACTCAGTTTAGTGTGGACAGGTGTACGTGTAAATCATCCATCATGAAATGGACAAATGTGTTGAAAGAATCTTCAAAAAAAAATTCACTGAAGCTGAATGTAGTCTCTTCCAAGGCCAGCTGGTACACTGATGCCGATGGGTTCCTAGAACACTAACCTAGTCATGGAAGCCTGTACAAAGGACCTGCTCTCCAAAAGATAATTCCGGTTTTTTTGGGGTTCCCCCTTGTATGTAGATTAGTGATTCATATTTTAATTTTAAGATGTCTTGACATAGAGAAGTTTTTACATGACCATATTTTTCATTTTCTTTCCCCCTACTCAGTTAAGTATGCATCTAAACATGCTTAGACATCTACATATATGCAGGTCTTCTTTTTTCTTGACTACCTGTAGGTCAGAGAGGAAGTTGTTGAATGAAGCCTGGATTTGAAAACTTTGACTCTTGTAGGACCATTAGTAGTTGATAGAGGAAAGTTAAATGGAATACTTGAAATGGGGCGGATTTTAGAAGGTATAGCATATACAGTCTCTTTATTTGCAGGATGTTTTCCAACTGAATGTATCAACAACTGAGTTAATATGTCTCATCTTTCTACTAACAGACCCTTACCAGTTTTCACACTCATTAACACCTTCATTCTCCCATTCCTAGTTTTTTCAAATCCTGGCCAGCCCATTTCTTTCTTTTTAAAAAGTTATGTTGTCCATGCTGGTCTTGACCTCCTAGCCTCAAGCAGTTCTCCCATGTTGGCCTCCCAAAGTTCCGTGAGCCACCATGGCTCAGTCCCATTTTTTTCTTGATACATCTATGGGACCTATTCTTTCCTCTACCTTTCTGAAACAAACCTCCTTTACTAAGTTCATTCTAACCACTCCTTGCTGGCTGCATGACTTTTTCCAGGTTATCTATGATTTGTTTCCAGAACTGTACCTTCAAGTATTTTTCCTTCATTGTTTTTTAACCTCTTCAATGATATCTTACATAAACAGTTAGTGAGAATTTAGGACCTTCAGGCTTAAGTATCAGCTTGTCTGTGTGCTTGGTCTTTTTCTGGTCTCATTCTGTTTCCAAGGCTTAAGATCATGGCTCACTGCAGCCTCTAACTGCTGGGCTTAAGCAATCCTCCTGCCTTAGCCTCTCAAGTAGCTGGGACTACAGGCATGAGCCACCATGTTCAGCTAACTTTTTTGATTTTTGTAGAGATAAGGTCTCACTATATTGCCTAGGCGTGGTCTCAAACCCCTAGGCTCAAGCAGTCCTCCCTCCTCAGCCTTCCAAAGTGTTGGGATTACAGGAATGAGCCACTGTGCCCAGCCTGTTGGCTTGGTCTTGCATAGTGGAAAGAGAATGGACTGGCGAGTCAGTCTAATCTGCCTGATTCACTAGTTCTCTTACCTCTTTGGGACCAGTGATCTCATCTGTAAAATGGGGATGGTAACATTTACCTTATATTGTTTTATGAGGATGACAGGAGATTGTGCAAATAAAACACTTGGTACAAATGTAGCACGTGCTCATCAAGTATAGTTTTCATCCTTCCTCCCCTTTCCTCTCTCCTCTGCCAAACTTTTTTTTTTCCTCTCTCACTCTTTTGCCCAGGCTGGAATGCAGTGGCATGATCATGGTTCACCACAGCTTCGACCTCCTGGGTGTAGGTGATCCTTCCGCCTCGGCCTCCCTGAGTAGTGGGACTACAAGTGTGCACTACCACACCTGGCTAATTTTTTTGTAGAGATGAGCTCTTGCTATGTTGCGTAGGCTGGTCTCGAACTCCTGGACTCGAGCAATCCTCCTGCCTCGGCCTCTAACAAAGTGCTGGGATTAGAGGTGTGAGCTACCACTCCCGGCCATCAAACTTCTTTCTTTTTTGCCTGGGTCTTAGCTGTCTTCTCAGAGGAAGGAAGCCATCCTCTTTCCACGTGCTTGCTTGCTTCTTTATTTATTCGTTTGCTTATTTCTACCGTTGCATACATTGCTACCAAAGCTGTTTCTTCTGCATCATGGCATCTTTCTGCTGGTCTTCCAACTTCCAGGATTCAACTTAAAACTCTCTTCCAGAAAGTCTTTCTTGATTAACCCAATTCAGCATAACTACACTTTTATTATTTTCTCACATTTAAATAATGTTTCATTAATTAGAACTTACTGTTTTGTCATCATGAGACAGGTTTACCATTAACTTAAATTTTTTTTGTTTTGTTTTTTTTTAGAATCTGAGGTTCCAGCAGAGCTTCAGGTGTTAAAAGGACCCCTGCAACAACCAACTTTTCCTTTTGCAGTTGCAAACCAATTATTGCTTGTCTCTTTGCTGGAGCACTTGAGCCATGTGCATGAACCAAACCCACTTCGATCTAGACAAGTGTTTAAATGTAAGTAAGAATAGATTAATCTTGCTAAATAAAGCTTATAAAGATACTATGTCATTTAATGCTGTGAGTCTGAAAAGCAACTGGTATTTAAGAATTGGAAGTGAAATAAGCATGAATAATTTGCATGCGGGCTTGGTGGCTCAGCCTGTAATCCCGTGCCTTTGGGAGGCTGAGGAGAGTGGATTGCCTGAGCCCGCGGGTTCGAGACCCGCTTGGGCAGGCGAGACCTCATCTCTACAATAAATCAAAAAATTAGCCGGGCGTGATAGTGTGCGTTTGTAATTCCGGCTACTCGGAAGGGTGAGGTGGAAGGATCGCCAGAGCCCAGCAGATTGAGGTTGCGGTGCCTGGGAGTGGCCACTGCACTCCAGTCTGGGCGACAGAGTGAGATTCCAACTCAAAAAAAACCAAACAAACAAAAACTCAGTTTGTATTTTCTTTGTAATTCCTTATGAATATAATCACTGGGGACCCCAAAATTGTCTAAAATTGAATAGTTATTTTACATCTATATTATGATAATTCATATAATTTTTGAAGATCTGTTATGTTTTAGGTGGTGAGTAGGTAAAAGAAAATCACAAGTTCTAATTCTGAATCAATTCTTTTTTTTTTTTTTTTTTTGAGTTGGTGTCTCACTCTGTCGCCCAGACTGGAGTGCAGTGGCATGCTCCTGACCACCGCAGCCTCAACCTGCTGGGCTCTGGTGATCCTTCTGCCTCAGCCTTCCAAGTAGCTGTAACTACAGGTGTGTGCTACCACGCCTGGCTAATTTTTGATTTATTGTAGAGACGAAGTCTCGCCAAGTTGCCCGGGTGGGTCTCGAACCCGTGGGTTCAGGCAATCCACTCGCCTTGGCCTCCCAAAATGCTGGAATTACAGGCTGAGCCACTGAGCCCGGCCTGAATCAATTCTTGACAGAGGATTGGAACCAGCTGCATACTGTGTTGTTGAAAATGTTTATTTTTATTCTGCCATAGGGTACTTGTATGAGAAACTTAAGCACAAAAGTGAGTAGCATTATAGATTATGATGTTTATGGTTCAACTTATTGACTGAGACCATTGTGGCCTCTTTAATAGTTCCAGCCACAAGCCAGGCATGGTGACCCATGCCTGTAGTCCTCGCTACTGGGAGGCTGAGGCAGAAAGGTTACCTGAACCTGGAGTTCAATGCTGCAGAGCACTATGATGATGGTGTCACTGCACTCTGGCCTGGGCATCATAGCACTTTCTGTCACTCTGAAAAAAAAAATAGTTTCAAGATTCTTTTCTATCAAAAAAAAAAATCCTTCCAAGTCTTGTTGGTGTTAGAAATCCTCAAACTTATAGATACTTTTATGTGGTCTAATGTATTTTTAGTTAAAGATATTATTTTGTTAAACTTGATGGGACATGAAAAATGGTAAAAATATTATATAGTGTGCACTTACAGTTTCTTGAATAAGACCACATGTTATACTCTACAGTCTGAGCAGTGGCATTTGTGGTGGGGACAGGATTGTACAGAAGGGGGTGTTTCTTAGATTTTGAAGCATTTTTTGGTGCCTGGGGATCATTGTATTTGACTTATCATATACAAAAGCAGATTATAATAATTTTAATACTGTAATCTTGCTCAGAGTTAATCGAAGTTTTATTGATGTTAAGATAATTTTGATTTCCTTATAGGCAGCATTGTTAAATGACTGAATTTTAAACTAAGGTTTATGTAGATAAATGCTTTGAATGTGAGTCAGTTTGTGTGTGTGTGTGTCAGAGTCCCTGTGTGTGTGTGTGTGTGTGTGTGTGTGTGTGTGTGTGTGTGTGTCAGAGTCTCACTCTGTCGCCCAGGCTGGAGTGCAGTGGGACACTCATAGCCGCTGCAGCCTTGACTTACTGGGTTTAGGCAATCCTTACACTTCAGCCTTCCAAGTAGCTGGAACTACAGGCCTGTGCCACTATACCTGGCTAATTTTTTGATTTATTGTAGAGACGAGGTCTTGCTGTGTTGCCCAGGCTGATCTCTAACCCATGGGCTCAGAGCCTCTTACCTCTGCCTCCCAAAGTGCTGGAATTACAGGTGTGAGCCAGTTAGTTAGTTGGTAATCTAAATGGAAAGTGTTTGATGTGGGAAGAATATTGTCCATGGTAGTTGTATTTCTTGAGTGAGTAAAAGCCAAAGGCTGCTTTTTCTGAAGAGCCTGATATTTGGTTTACACACATATTTAATGTGTGCTCTTTGTATATTGGTTAAAGATATTGTATAATGATTAATGCTCATTTTTATTGCAAGTTCCAATCATATATTTCCACACCTGCCTTTCTTCTTTTTTTTTTTTCTTTTTTGAGTCAGGTTCTTATTTTATTGCCCAGGCTGTAGTACAGTGGCACAATTACAGCTCACTGCAGCTTCGAACTCCTGGGTTCAAGTGATCCTCCCTTCCCAGCCTCCTGAGTAACTGGGACTATAAGCGCACCACCACGGTTGGCTAATTTTTATTTTTTGTAGAGACAATATCTCGCTATATTGCATAGACTCGAACTCCTGGCTCAAGCAATCCTCCGTCCCCTGGGTTACAGGAGTGAGGGCTCTGATTACAGGACTAAGCCACTGCTCCCAGCCTGCTCCTGCCTTTATTCTTATCTTAATGCCCATCCTCTAAATGAGATGTGTGGAATGTCAGAAGACTATGTTTACATTTTTTGGCCGCCTTCTTTTTTTTTAATTTTTTTAAAAACAGCTTAGTGCTTTACTGACTAGGCATGGTAAACAAATGACTGCACAATATAAGATATTATTCTGGCACCTGGTCAATGGCCTACTCTTGATGGGAAGCATTACTGATAACATAAGCAGTTGGTTTAGACTTGTTTTATATATTACATGTATTATATACTGTATTTTTACCATAAAGTAAGATAGAGAAAAGAAAATGCTGACGTGCCTGTAATCCCAGCACTTTGGGAGCCTTAGGCAGGAAGAGTGCTTGAGCCCAGGAGTTTGAGACCAGCCTAGGCAACATAATAAGACCTTGGCTCTACAAAAAATAAAAATATAATATAAGGGTCGGGGGGGTAAGGGAAAGAGTACCTTGGGCAGATGCTCTGGAGGACAGGGGTGTATGGAGCTCTGGCAGGAGCCAGACTGTCTAGGGAAACAGCCCCTTTCTTTTCCATGCACTCAGCCACAAAGCCTCCCTTCCCTGCACGCTGTTCCCCCCCACCTCTTTGTAAGTGTGTGAAAAGGAAAAAAATGCAAACATTGGAGTTTGACTGAAGTGCCTCCCTCCAGCTGTGGCATTGAACTATGTAATAATGTACAGAGAAAGCTGTTGGTGTTATAAGACTGTGTGATTGTGCAATTTCTGTACATTTGCAATTAGAAATATTAAAGATTTATTTAGCTACTTTAAAAATATATAATATAAGTTATTACAGGTGTGCTTCTAATCAATGACTGTACCAATTGTACCTTCTCTTTTAGAGAATCAGTCTCCAAGTTTAATGTGTATATAAATATAACTTTTTTCTTAGAGGCTTTGTGTGTATTACTAGTGTTGCTTTTTATTCTCTATTGATTGCCTTTCTAATAATACTTTTTCATATTCTTTTTTAGTACTTTGTCAGACCTTTATCAAAATGGGACTGCTGTCTTCGTTCACTTGTAGTGATGAGTTTAGCTCATTAAGACTACATCACAACAGAGCTATTACTCATTTGATGAGGTCTGCGAAGGAGAGAGTTTGTCAGGTAAGCCCTAAAAAATGTACTTTGTGCATGACAAAAATATATTTTCATTTGAAGCTAACTATATTTTAAAGCACTATAAAATCCTAACTATAAGACAAGTTTTTTAAAATATAAACTTTAATTAGTTTAATCAACAATGTTTATTGAATGATTATTATGTGACAGGCTCTTTTGTAGGTGCTGGGATTAGAGCTGTTAACAAAATAGACAAAAATCCCCGCCCTCATGGAGCAGGGGGCAATAAATATCAGGAAAAAAAAGTGCTGTGTGTGTGTGGTGGTGATAACATAAAGGGGGAAACATCAGTGAAGAGTCTTAGAAACATGATGGAAGCTGTATGAATTTTATTTTATTTTATTTTATTTTTTTGAGTTGGAGTCTCACTCTGTCGCTCAGACTGGAGTGCAGTGGCCGCTCCTGGCCACCGCAGCCTCGACCTGCTGGGCTCCGGCGATCCTTCCGCCTCAGCCTTCCAAGTAGCTGCAATTACAGGCATGCACTACCATGCCCAGCTAATTTTTTTTAAATTTATTGTAGAGATGAGGTCTCACCAAGTTACCCAGGTGGGTCTCAAACCCGCAGGACTCAGGCAATCCACTCACCTCAGCCTCCCAAGGTGCAGGATTACATGCTGAGCCACCGACCCTGGGAAGCCGTGTGAATTTTAAACAAGAGGCTAGGGAGGCCCTCACAGAGGCAGTATTATTTAAGTCAAATTGAAGTTGAGAAAGTGAGCCAAGCAGATATCTGGAGGAAAAGCATTCTAGGCAGAGGAACAGTTACAGGTGAGCCTTGAACAATGTCAGAGATAAGGGTGCTGACCCCACACAGTCAAAAATCTACGTGTAACTTTTGGCTTCCCAGAAACTTTACCGATGGCCTACTGTTTTTTTTTGGGGGGGTTGGAGTCTCACTCTGTTGCTCAGGCTGGAGTGCAGTGGCATACTTACGAGCTACAGCTGTGGCAGACTTGACCTGCTGGGCTCAGGCAATCCTTCCACCTCAGCCTTCCAAGTAGGGGGAACTGCAGGCATGTACCACTTTGTCTGGCTAATTTTTTGATTTCTTGTAGAGACAAAGTCTCACCAAGTTGCCCAGGCTGGTCTTGAGCCCCTGGGCTTAGGCAGTCCTCTTGCCTCTGCCTTCAAAGTGCTAGGATGACAGGCACAAGCCGCTGCACCCAGTCAATAGCCCACTCTTGATGGGAAACCTTCCCAATAGCATAAACAGTTGTTTCAGATGTGTTTTGTATATTGCATGTATTATATACTGTACTGTATTCTTTTATTTATTTATTGAATTGGAGTCTCACTCTGTTGCCCAGGCTGCAGTGCAGTGGCGCACTCACAGCCACCCTAGTGTCAACTTGCTGGGCTCCGGTGATCCTTCCGCCTCAGCCTTCCAAGTAGCCGGAATTACAGGCACGCATTACCAGGCCTGGCTAATTTTTTATTTTATTGTAGAGACGAGGTCTTGCCAAGTTGCCTGTGCTGGTCTCAAACCCACGGACTCAGGCCGTCCTCTCGTCTTGGCCTCCCAAAGTGCTGGGTTTATAGGCTGAGCCACTGAGCCTGGCCTATACCATATTCTTAAAACAAAGTCAGCTAGAGAAAAGAAAATGCTGGCCAGGAGAGTGACTTATGCCTGTAATCCCAGCACTCTGGGGGGCTGAGGTAGGAGGAGTACTTGAGCCTAGAAGTTTGAGACCAGCCTAGGTGACATAGTGACATAGTTTCTCTGCAAAAAACAAAAATTTGCCAGGTGTGGTGGCATATGCCTCTAGTCTAGCTACCTAAGAGGCTGAATTGGAAGGATCACCCGAGCCCAGGATATCGAGGCTGCTATGAGCCATGATTATGCCATTGCACTCTAGTCTGGGTGACACAGTGAGACTCCCCAACTCAAAAAAAAAAAAAGAAAGAAAGAAAAATACTATTAAGAAAATCATGGCTGCATGCGCACAGTGGCTTATTCCTGTAATCTTAGCACTTTGAGAGTCCAAGGAGAGAGGATTGCTTGAGGACAGGAATTTGAGACAAGCTTGGGCAATACACCCATTTCTACAAAAAATAAAAAAAAGAATTAGTGTGGCATAGTGACGTGCACCTATAGTCCTAGTTACTCGGGAGGCTGAGATAGGAGAATTGCTTGAGCCCAGGAGTTCAAGGGTACAGTTCAAGCTGTGGTCCCTCCACTGCCCTCCAACTGGAGCAACAAAGTGAGATCTTGTTTCTAAAAAATAAGAAAAGAAATTAATAAGGAAGAGAAAATCAATTTACTGTTACTATTCATTAAGTGGAAGTAGATCATCCTAAAGACCTTTATTCTCATGGTCTTCACATCGAGTAGGGTGAGGAAAAGAAGAAAGAAGAGAATAGGTTGGTCTTATCGTGTCTGGTGTGGCAGAGGTGGAAGAAATGGAAGGTGAGGCAGGAGAATTAGTCACACTCACTGTAACATCTGTTGAAAAAAATCTGCATGTAATGGACCTGTGCAGGCCAAACCATGTTCAACAGTCAACTGTAATTGCTGGGGCCCTGAAGTGGCAGTGTGCTGGCATGTTTGGGAGCTACGAGGCCGCCCTGTGGCTGGAGTGAAGTAAGCAAAGGGGAGAGTTTCAGAGAGGAGGGGTAAGGGGAGGAGGGTCGAGACATGGAGCAGGATCTTGAGACTGTTTCAATGTCTTTGGTTTTTCCCAGGGTAAAATGAGAAGCGTTGCAGGGTTTTGAGCAGAGGCGTGACATGATTCGGTTTACATTTTAATGGTGTCACACTAGCTGCTGTGTTGAGAATGGACTGAGGGGCACAGGCAGAAGCAGGGAGACAGGTGCTGTCACACAGACAAAAGAAGGTTGGGCGGACATGAGGGGTGGGCAGTTTCTCATATATTTTGAAGGTGACATTAGCATTGTTTGCTCCTTGGTAAATTTTCAGCTTTGGAATATTTACAATTGTAAACTCTTAAGTAATATTGAAAAGCCGTTAGTTTCGGTTTTTAAAAAATATTGTTTGAGCATTTGGGGCTGTTAATGTGACATTGAATTTTGAAAGCTTGATTCCTTGCTCCATGAAAGTTTTCAAAATACTTAAAAACATTTTTTTTTGGTTTTAGAATCCTTGTGAAGACACTTCTCATATCCAGAAAATTAGGTATGCATTAAATACTTTGTTGATTATGCAAAGACTATTCAAAAGAAGTCAATATTAAGAAAATACTAGTTTTGGTGTTAAAAAATAATGCAGTGTGTGGGTAGTTTATAAGAATTAAGAACTTTGATCTCAGCAATTAAATACTATTCCAAGATTTGCTTTTCTTCTCATTTCCCTCCTCCTTGATCCCCTGCCCTCTCACCCACCATTTAATGTGAATTCCATGGCCACACTCTTAATTCAGACTACTGATCTCCAGTCTTTGTTTGGGAGCATCATTGAATTTCAGCAATATTTAGGAAATGCTAGTTTAAAATCTATAACTGGTCTGTGTTATTAAGAACCTTAAGTAAATATGTTACTGAACTCAGCTTACTAACTGCTGCCTGTTAGTGATCCTCAGGATTTCTGCTGTAAAACATTGATAATAATTTCTAATTGGAATTCTAATTACTGATTAAAAACTTGAAATTAGTTTAATGACTTTCTTGCTATTTTTATTACACTTAATTTGCTTAGTCAGTGTTTTCTTCAGAGATGAAAAATTTCATTTTAGGTTATCCTTTCCAAATTAACTCAGTTTAGTGCTAAATATGATTTAGCAGGTTAGTAATACAGTGACCATGAGTTATCCTAGAACATTTTGATTCTCTCATGTTCTAATATTGATTAATTATTTGCATTTAAATTTTAGATCAAGAGAAGTAGCCTTTGAAGCACAAACTTCACGTTACTTAAATGAATTTGAAGAACTTGCCATCTTAGGAAGAGGTGGATATGGAAGAGTATACAAGGTTGTTTTCCACATACTTGTTTTGATCTTCTACTCCAAATAAGTGTATTTTGAGAAGTTGTTTTCATTATTATTACAAAGTACTCAAAGGACAATTTCTAGAAATCATTTATATTTACTTTTTCATTAAGATTTGTCATTTATAGGGAAGTAGGAAGTAGACAGGTTTTAGTTTTTTACATTGGATGTTCAGGTAGGTTCTGGAAACTTTGAATTTTTGTTCTATAGTTGATTTTTATTAAAAATGTGTTACTAAAAAAGGTTGTTCTACTGTGTTCTGAGTGTTCTTCAGCCCTAGAGCTGATAAGAGTTGGACTCTCATAGAATTTGAAAGCTCTTAGTCTGGCTAACTAGGGCTGACTTCCCTGAACATAGTAAAGAGATGTATTTTCAGCTTTTTTTTTCTTTGGCTAGTTTGGATTGTCTAAGCTCAGATTAAAATAACTTCTTTATTGATTTAAAATTTAATGGCACAATATACTTGTCTTTTCTTCTTAGGTCAGGAATAAATTAGATGGTCAGTTTTATGCAATTAAGAAAATCCTGATTAAGCGTGCAACTAAAACAGACTGCATGAAGGTATGATTTTTAAAAATTATTTATCTTGAATAATTGTGTATTTAGTTCCTTTTGAAATAGTTATATGTGTATGTGTGAGTGTTTGGCAAATAGTAGGTGTTATATGGATTGCTAGTTTATTCAGAATAGGGTTACAGAAAAGTATAGTAAACATTTTTTTTTTTTGAGTTGGAGTCTCATTCTGTCGCCCCGACTGGAATGCAGTGGCCGCTCCAAACTAAGTTTATGTTTGAAGTAATTTTTTTTTTTTGGAGTCAGAGTCTGACTCTGCTGCTCAGGCTGGAATGCAGTGGCATGCTCATGGCCACCACTGAGCAACCTCCGGAGCTCAGGTGATCCTTTCGCCTGAGCCTTCTTAGTAGCTGGAACTACAGGGGTGTGCCACCATGCCCAGCTAATTTAGTTATTTATTTATTGTAGAGACAACGTCTCGCCAAGTTGCCCAGGCTGGTCTTGAACCCCTGGGGTCAGGTAGTCCTTCATCTCTGACTCCCAAAGTGCTGGGATTACAGGCATGAGCTACTGTGTGCAGCCGATATAATTTTTTATAGCCACTTTAGACTGACCACCTTTCAGGGTCATTGCTGGGGAAATTAATTTTTTGAATAAATGGTGAATGTATAGCACAGCTAGTTGTGAAAAAACAGGAGCCCGGTTCAGGCCCCAGTCTTTCCCCTGACGTTTTTGCTATGTAGTCCTGGGCAAACTGTCTGGTTCTCTGAGCCACTTCTGTCTCACTCTCTGAAATAGTAGTTTTACTTGCCTAGGAACACTGGTGTAAGAATCAAATAAGCGAATAGTGATATGTATGTTATCAAAGGCATTAAGTGCTATGTAAATGTAAGATATTTAGTTGCTATAGCAGTTTCCATTTTTCTCTCACAAAAATATTTCTATTATTTTAAAGTAGTTTAGATTCCTGGACAGAGGAGTCTTTATAATAGATGCTCCTCAACTTTCAGTTCGGTTACATCCTGATAAACCTATTGTTAGTTGAAAAAATTATAAGTTGAAGGTGCTTTTTAGTACAGCTGACCTACTGACCATCGTAGTTTAGCCTAGCCTACTTAAGGCAAGCTCAGAACACTTACATTAGCTACCAGTTGGACAAAATCATCTAGCATAAATCCTATCTTATGATAAAATGTTGAATGTCTCATGTACCACACATATTACAAGTCTGGGAGAAGTTCAGAATCAAAGTATGTGTAAATTGCAATGTTTTTGTACCATCATATGTCAGGATCTGTCTGCATTTTTCTCTGGAACAAGGAATATTTGATTCCATGAACATTTAATAAGTTGTCAGTAAGAGCTAGATCTAATTATGTTTCTTTTTTAGGTACTCCGGGAAGTGAAGGTGCTGGCTGGTCTTCAGCACCCTAATATTGTCGGCTATCATACTGCATGGATAGAACATGTTCATGTGGCCCAGCCACAAGGCAAGGGGTTTTGGTGATATAGTCATTGCAAGATTGGCAAACTTCAGCCCGTGGACCAAATTTGGCCTGCCCTTGTTTTTTTGTACATACTACAAGCTAAGAATGGTTTTTACATTTTTAAACAGTTGAAAGAAATCAAAAGAAGAAATTATATGAAATTCAAAATTTCTGTGTCAATAAAGTTTATTAGAATGCAGGCTTATTCATTTATATATTGTCTATGGCTGCTCTTGTATCAGAATTGAGTAGTTTAAGCAGAGTCCCAGAGGGCTCCTAAAACCTAAAATGTCAGGCCCTCTGTAAAGTTCGCTGACTCCTCGTATGCTGAGCAGCTCTGGTTTTGTAGTTCATAAATTTTGCCAGTCATTTGAATGTACTTGTTCAGTGTGTTTTGCCAGAAGGTCGTGACAATTTTAGACCTGAAGTCTCATTTAGTACTATCTGTGTAGTTTAACTCTGCCTTTGATAAATGGATAAACTGGAAAACTAGGCGTTTGCAGATTTTTGTTTTTGTTTTTGTTTAGCAGACAGAATTTCCATTCAGTTGCCATCTTTGGAAGTGCTCTCTGACCAGGCAGAGGACAGGTATGTGAACTGGTGTATACATATTAGGACATTACTCGCTATCACTGCATTGGGTTATCTTTGCCTTTTGCTACAAGGAGCTCAGGGGGAGTGTTTTAGACTTTCTTTTTTGCTTATTTTCATTACAAAATGTCAAATTATTTCATCCTCTTAGATACTTCCTGTATTTTTTTACTTTATTTCGAGTCGAGGTCTCACCCTGTAGCCCTGGCTGGAGTGCAGTAGCTTGGATCACAACTCATTGTAGCCTTGAACTCCTGGGCTCTGGTGATCCTTCTGCCTCAGCCTCCCAAATAGCTGGGACTACAGGTGCATGCCACCACGCCTGGCTAATATTTTTATTTTTTTGAAATGAGGTCTTGCCATATTGCCCAGGCTGGTCTCAAACTCCTGGACTCAAGTGACCTCCCACCTTGGCCTCCCAAAGTGCTGGGATTACAGGCATGAGCCACTGCACCTGGCCAGTGTCAGTATTTTAAATAAATATTGCTGCTAGACAGATTTGATGCCATTTTTAAAAAAAGCTTACCAGTAAGAGTCATACAGGCTTGAAGGAATAGTTGAGCTACTGTTGATCTTTTTTTTACATCGACTTTTGTCTTTACTGTTTTATTCTCCAGAGATCAGCATGGTGTTAAAAATGATGAAAGTAGCAGCTCATCCATCATCTTTGCTGAGTTCACGCCAGAAAAAGAAAAACCCTTGGAAAAGTCTGACACTGAAAATCGGAATAACAAATTGATGAACTGCACCACTGATTTAGTCCTGAGAGACACCAGTGAATTTGAGTTGTCCGGTGAGCTCCAGGATAATGACTTTGCTGATGTGTCTACCAGGTCGATTGTTGAGCAGCAGCTACCACTCAGGTGTAATTCAAACCTAGAAGAGAATTTCACTTCCACTGAGGAATCTTCTGAAGAAAACATCAACATGTTGGGGCAGACTGAGGTAGATTTCTTTCTCTTGACCTACCAATTTGGCGTTTCCCCATAGTAAACTGTATGAGGGACTGTGATTATGCAAGACCTTCCCTCCTCTTCAGCTGACTTCCCACCTCATGCTCCTCCCTCTCTCGGCTCCAGCTCTTCTACCTGTGTTCAGTCTCTTGTCCTCACCATATAGCCTTTGTATTTGGGCTTCCCTCCTTCAGTTAGTAACTCCCACAGTCCTTTTCTGACCTCCCCAACTGGGTCATTTGCCCCTCTGGATGCTCTTGTAGATGTACCTTGGAGTCATTTATACTCTGATTCTGTTGTATATTAGCATCATACTGTAAAATTATACTTTTGCAGAAAGATTTTTGAGCATGACTTTAGGTGAGTCCTAGTAGGTCAGTTTTCAGGATGCTCTTTTCACTTTTAAAATTTATTTTTTATTTTATTATTTTTAGTGTTCAGGATACCTCTTATTGAAGGTTATACTGATAATGCTGGTCAGCCTCCCATCTCATATAAATCAGTATTATTGAGTATTAGTAGTTCGAAAACTTGAACATTAACAGAGTCTACAAATCTTCTGTCTTGTTAGGGTTATAAAACTGTGTATACCATCTTTATATACACAGTGCAGAATTAATTCTTGTCAAGAAATATTATTTCTGTGCATTTTTTTTTATGAAACATAAAACTATGAGCAGGTTCACCTGAATCTGAAGGAGTTGCGTTTGGGAGGCTTTTAATTAGAATAATTTCATTTCTTTGTATTATAGTTGGAAAATTTTCCTGGATGTCTAAATAAGCGGGCTATAGTAAGCTTACTGTTTGCCTACTTTTTTCTTGAGTAAGTTATTAGTTATGTACAATGTGAAGCCAACAGTAGTATATATTGGAATACATAGAGCGTAGAATACCATATAGCCATTCTTTGGTGCTTTATCTTAGCTTTAAGATCTGTTTATGTAGTGAGCAGACCAGTTGCAGGACCAGTTCCTCAGTGTTACATTTGAGAGCTTCTGTTGGATCCCTGCCTGATGTCCACCTGGGTATTCCTTCTCTTTGTATTATGAAACACTGTTTTAATTACTGCTCTACTTATCTGTCTCTGGCATTAGACTTTGGGCTTCTTGGGCAGGCCTGTGCTCTCAGCAATTCAGTCTTGCAAAAGGAGGTTCAAACAAGTTAACACTTTCTTGGCCCAGAGTTGGCAAGTGAGTATTTGTTGACTAACTGAATAATATGAGTGAATCGTACAAAGATGGGAGCTGGTGGCATGTCCTCTCCTAGGTGCAGTACCACCTTATGCTGCACATCCAGATGCAGCTATGTGAACTCTCGCTGTGGGATTGGATAGCCGAGAGAAACAAGCGGGGCCGAGAGTATGTGGATGAATCTGCCTGTAAGTACCATCTGGGTCTGTACGTACTGGGCTGGGAAATAAAGGCAAAGTCCGATCTTTTCCATCTAATGTAGAAGTTGCCTCCAGGTACTTTAGGTTAAAAAACAAACAAACAACCAAAACCAAAGAAAGAGTTATGCTTATTTCAACAGTTTTCAAAAACAGTTCAGTATTTGAAGTGAATTTTCTCTGTGATAGATATATAGTTTGTAGCTGGGCTTGGTGGCTCAGCCTGTAATCCTGCGCCTTAGGAGGCTGAGGTGAGTGAATTGCCTGAGCCCGCGTGTTTGAGACCCGCCTGGGCAACTTGACGAGACCTCATCTCTACAAGAAATCAAAAAATTAGCCAGACATGGTAGCACGCCTGTAGTTCCAGCTACTTGGAAGGCTGAGGCGGAAGTATCACCGGAGCCCAGCAGGTCGAGACTGCGGTGGCCGGGAGCGGCCACTGCACTCCAGTCTGGGCGACAGAGTGAGACTCCAACTCAAAAAAAAGAAAGATATATAGTTTGTTGATATTTAAGCAGTAATCTACTGAAATTTAGGTTAATGATAATGAATAGAAAAGGTTTAAATTTTTTTAACACAATAGAAGTTTGTTTCTTCTTCACTTATGGGAGTCCAAGTTCCTCCTTTAAACTTTTTAAGAGGTGATGTTTAAATACTCATTTTATTTTTTTAAACCTGAAAATGTGATACTTTTATATGAAATTCCCTATAAAAGGGCGTATAGTGAAAAGTTTGTCTTCTTCAAGATCCAGACCCTCCCTTCCGCATCCCCCCCAACCTGCAGTTATATACCATTCTAGGAATATTCTGTTGGCTAATATTTTAAAAATATTACAACACTGGTTCTTAACTTTGGCTGCACATTAGAGTCACCCAGGTACTTTGAAAAATATGTTGTCCATAAAAAAGAATAATTTTACAGTGCAGTACTATAACTTTATAGCAGAGAAACCTGACAAACACTACCTTAGCTGGTAATCAAAGTCAGCATAAACAGTGACAGGTCATGTTGGTAGTATGTGCTCCCTTGATATGATGTGATAAGAGTGGCACTTCATCTCTGTGGTCGTCCTCCCCCAAACTCATAGTCCCAGTCTAATCATGAGAAACACATCAGACAAATCCCAACTGAGGAACAGTATACAAAATATGTTATCTGACCAGTATTTCTGAAAACTATCAAGACCATCAAAATCAAGGAAGGTCTGAGAAATTTTCACAGGTGAGAGGAGCCTAAAGAGACATGACAACTCAGGGTAATGTGGTATATCCTGGATGGGGTCCTGGAACAGGACAAAGGAAAGTGGTAAAAACTAAGGAAACCTGAATATACTTTGGACTTCAGTTAATGATATAAAGTATCAGTATTGGTGCATTAATTGTGACAAATGTGCCATACTAATGTAAGGGTGTTAATAACAGAGGAACCTGGATGTGGGTTTTATGGAATTCTCTGTAGTATATTCTCAATTTTTCTGTAAATATAAAACTCCTAAAAAGTAAATCCTTTTTTAAAAAAAAGCCATTGTCTGGAATCACACTGGTTATTTTTATATAATTGGTCTAGATAAGTCTTGACTTTTTTTTTTTTGTATTTTTTTGGAAAATTGTTTTGTTGATGCTTATGTGTAGCCAGAATTTAAAAAACCATTGTATTGGATTATCAAAGTAGCAGATGTGAGTGACTTGATTTTTAAGTAAAGATTCAACTAAATATCAGTCATTAATCATTTGCTGTTTTCTCCTTTATTTGGACTCAAATCTAGGCTAGTTAACCTGACTCAAAATCTTAGACTAGCTGCCAGTGGGAAGACAGAAATATAATATTTTTCTCCAGTAGCTCCACAACACACCTCTGTGCTGCTTCTCTAGTTTGCCATGTAATTAGGACATGCCAGAACTCAGTCTAGTTCAGTTGTGGCATGTAGTATGTTGGGGTTTTCAGTGCCCTGTAAAGTTGTTTTTTTGCTTGCTTTATGAGCATTGTAGTACTATGTGCAGATTTTTTTTTAAGTCAGGAAGTCTTTTTTTCTAATATAAAAATGCATAAATTTATTTTTAAAATTTTTTTGAGTTGGAGTCTTACTCTGTCAGGCTGGAGGGCAGTGGCACGCCTCTCAGCCACTGCAGCCTCAACCTGGGCTCCGGCGATTCTTCCGCCTCAGCCTTCCAAGTAGCCGGAACTACAGGTGTGCTCTACCACTCCCAGCTAAGTTTTGATTTATTGTAGAGACGTGGTCTCACCAAATTATCCGGGCTGGTCTCGAACCTGCGGGCTCAGACAATCCATTCACCTTGGTCTCCCTAAGTGCTGGGATTACAGGCTGAGCCACTGAGCCTGGCCAAAATGCATAATTTTAAAGTCTGGAAGTGTGATACCTCCTGCTTTCTTTCTTTTGCTGGCGATTGTTTTGGCTATTCGTGGTCAATTGTGTTTCCATATGAATTTCTGTATTGCCATTTCCAGGTCTGAGAAGAATGATGTTGGTAATTTAATAGGTATTGCATTAAATCTGTAGATTGGCTTTGGTAGGATGGACATATTAACAATGTTGGTTCTTCCAATCCATGAGCATGGAATGTTTTTCCATTTGTGTCATCTTTGATTTCTTTGATCAGTGTTTTGTAGTTTTCATTGTAAGGGTCTTTGAATTCTCTGGTTAGGAAGATGCCAAGGTATTTCATTTTTTTAGTTGCTATTGTGAGTGGGATTGTGCTTTTTATTTGGTTCTCTGCCTGTTTGTTGTTGGTGTATAAGGAGGAGACTGTCTTTTGCATGTTGATTTTGTACCCTGAGACTTTGCCAATGGCCCTTATCAGTGCAAGGAGGTTTTTGACAGATTCTCATGAAGTTTCAAGGTATAGTATCATAGTGTCAGCAAAGAGGGACAACTTGGCTTCCTCTTTTACTATTTAGATGTCCCTGATTTCCTTCTCTTGTCTGATTGCTCTAGCTAGGACTTCCAACAATATGTTGAACAGGAGAGATGAGAGTGGGCAGCCTTGTCTTATCCCAATTTTCTCGGGAAATACTTGGAATTTTTGTCCATTTAGCAATATGTTGACTGTGGGTTTATCATAGATGGCTCTTACTATTTTGAGGTATGCTCCCTCTATGCCTAGGTGCTCAAGGGTTTTATAAGGCTGCAATAATCAAAACAGCCTGGTATTAGTACAAGAACAGACATAAAGGCCAATGGAACAGGATAGAGATTTCAGAAACAAAACCTCAATTTTTCAACCAACTTAACTGCGACAGAGCCTTCACTAACAACCACTGGGGAGAGGAGACCTTATTCAGTAAATGGTGCTGGGAAAACTGGTTGACCACATGCAGAAGATTAAAACAAGTTCCCTACCTATCATCATACACTAAAATCAACTCTAAATGGATCAAAGCCTTAAACTATAAGAACCATAGCAAATGCAGGAGACACCCTTATGGAAATTGGAACTGGCAACCAATTCCTGATCAAAACCCCAAATGCCCTCACCATAAGAGATAAGACAGACAAGTGGAACCTCATCAAACTGAAAAACTTCTGCAGAGCAAAAGAAACCACCAAGAGAGCTGGGAGGCAGCTCACAGACTGGTAAAAAATATTTGCCAACTGTATATCTGACAAAGGTTGAACATCTAGGATCTACAAGAAACTCAAACATGCTGAAAAGAAAAAAATAAACAGCCCTATCAAAAAGTGGACAAAAGATATGAATTGACACTTCTCAAAAGAAGACATACGAGCAACCGACAGATAGATGAAAAGAATGCTCAGCTTCACTAATCATCATAGAAATGCAAATTAAACACACTGAGATATCACCCAACTCCAGTCAGGATGGCCATCCTCAATAACTCAAAAAACAACAGATGCTGGAGAGAATGTGTGTTTGTGGGTGGGTGGGTAGTGGGGGGAGGGGCAGGAACACATCTATACTGTTGGTAGGAGTGTAAACTAGTTACAACCTCTGTGGAAAACAGTGTGGTGATTCCTGGAAGATCTAAAAATTGATCTTCTATATGACCCAGCAATCTTCCTTCTAGAATATACCTGGAGGAGCTCAAATCACTCTATGAAAAAGATACTTGCACATGCATGTTTATTGCAGCATTATTCACAATAGCAAAAACATGGAACCAACTGCTGCCCATCAAAAGCAGACTGGATACAAAAAATGTGGTACATATACACAATGGAATATTACACAGCCATAAAGAAGGACAAAATTATGAACTTTGCAGCAACTTGGAGGAATTTAGAGTCTGTAATACTCAGTGATCTATCACAGAAACAAAGAATTGAGTATCACATGTTCTCACACATAAGTGGACCCTGAACAATTATCATAATACTATAAGAAAAGGATTGGCAGTAGTAGGAAACTGCCAGGTGGTGGGGGGGGGGGGTGGCACACTTCATCAATAAGTGTACTTGATCTCCAACCAGGCAAAGTGGGGACCAAAGTGAGGCCCAAACCTTACCTGTACAATGACCATTTGTATACCTAATCCTGAATTGTACCCCACATCTTTAAAATAAAATTTAAAAAATACATAATATTTTAGAGGGAGGGGGAATAACTTGAAATAAATCAGAAAACACCTTCATATAAATCATTATTTTCATATACTTCAAGTTTGTACTTAATGCCTTTCTCCTCCTAGACATCTGAAAGGACACCTGGGTATTCTGAGAGAAGTTTATATTTCTCCAAATCGATTTCTGGAAAAAAAGTGTCACTTTCAAAGTCCTGCATGATGCTTGTCACAAACAGTTTAAGATAGCCTGACTCATGGCTTCCTTATAAACAGAGTTGCCTCCTACAAGCTAAACCATGTTTACTTTACTTGCTAATTCTGGTTGCTCAATGAGTTTTAAGATGTCATCCAGACTTTAGGCAAGAATGTGTGCTCCTGGTGGAAGTTCCTTGAGATCTTAGAACTTCCACCAGGAACACACATTCTTTTTTTTTTTTTTTTTTTTTTGAGTTGGGGTCTCACTCTGCCACCCAGACTGGAGTACAGTGGCATGCTCCCGGCTACCACAGCCTCGACCTGCTGGGCTCCAGCTATCCTTCTGCCTCAGCCTTCCAAGTAACTGGAATTACAGGCGTGATCTACCATGCTCGGCTAATTTTTGATTTATTGTAGAGACAAGGTCTTGCCAGGTTGCCTGGGTGGGTCTCGAACCCACGGGCTCAGGCAGTCCACTTGCCTCGACCTCCTAAAGTGCTGGGATTATAGGCTGAGCCACCAAGGCCGGCTGGGAACTAAGCTAATTCTGTCCTCCAAAGATCGATTCTTCTCAGGAATAGAAAACCAGGTATTCCTACCCATAATCACCAGGTTCTGTTCACCTTCTCTGAAAGAAGTTGTGGGCCATTCTCTAGAAGTTCTTGAATTCATTCTATGGCAGTGGTGCTCCTTGCTCGCTCTCGCTGGCCACCAGTACTATGTGCAGATATCTTTATGAGGAGGAAAATGGTTTATTAAAGCCCTGAATGCAATTGTTGATCTTTAAAATTCTATTTGGTATGGGGTGGGAACTGTAATGTATACCATCTAATAACATAAACCTGTCAAAACAACGAAGTCAAAATATGTGTGATACTGCTAGGGTGATGTCTATTATTCTTTTAAAAATATTTAAAAATTTTAACTTTGTAGTAGTCCAGCCCCGTGTTTATAGCTTATTCTATCAATTCTATTTTTACATTTCACCATTCCCAACAGACCTGGGTTTGAATCTTGGCTTTAGTGCTCACCAGCTGTAGGGTTTTGGGTAAGTCTGGTAACTGCTCTCAGTTTGTTTCCTCATCTGTGAGATGTGATTAGCCGCATTTTATAGGGTTGTTGTGAGGATTAAAGCAATAGGGCAAAGGATGTAGCAAATTGTCAGGCACAGAGAATGCAGAGTGAGTGGAGACTGTTATCACTGGGTTAGGTCTGTGTGTGGTTACTGACTCTTTTAACTGTTGCTTAGCATTTGGATATGTGAGGTGGGTTAAAATGAGAACCCTATATTTTATAGACAGACCAAAGAAAGGCAGCTATCTCAGTAGTTGTGAAGGTCAAATGCCTTCCTTGCATTTCTACCCAGACAGGAGGTCAGCCACTTCATTATGAGGGGAAGTCATAACAGAGGTACTTATAAGTAGAACCATTGCTTTTACACACACAGAGGAGTTTTCTGTCTTCTAAAGTACTTGCCCAAGGGTGTGGTAGATACACAAAAGGAGACAGTTGTTCTCTGTGTGAAATAGGTTTGAGATGAAAACAAACTAGACCCCTTCAAGGAGACAGGAGTATGTAATCCTGGTTCTTAAAGGTAAACAAAAGGTTTATGATTTTTTTAAAATTGAGACTAGATCTTGCTTTATTGCCTAGGCTGGTCTTAAACTCCTGGACTCAAGCAATCCTTCTGCTTTAGCCTCCTGAGGTTTATGATTTAAAGCAACTGAGCTATTAAGCTTTTATTATAATATTACTAAACTTGTTGAGAAAAAGGCAGGATTTTTGTCTTTATCAGTTTTTGTTTTAGTCCTATAAGACCTCTCCACTCTCTAAATTCACTTATGTCGTCATGTTACTAGATGAACTCATTCATTTACTTTTTCTTTTCCCATATGCCTTGCCAGTCATTTTTGGAAAGTGAAGCATTCCAGATGATGGAATCTTACCCCTTAAGCTAACATAATTTATTTATTTTTAAAAATTCCATTATTACTGGGCTCAGTGGCTCAGCCTGTAATCCCATGCCTTGGGAGGCTGAGGTGAGTGAATTGCCTGAGCCCGCGGGTTTGAGACCCGCCCGGGCACCTTGGCGAGACCTCATCTCTACAATAAATCAAAAAATTAGCCGGGTGTGGTAGTGCCCGCCTGTAGTTCCAGCAGCTTGGAAGGCTGAGGCAGAAGGATCACCGGAGCCCAGCAGGTTGAGGCTGCAGTGGCCGGGGAGCGGCCACTGCACTCCAGTCTGGGCGACGGAGTGAGACTCCAACTCAAAAAAAAAACCATTATTTGGGCCAAGTGCAGTGGCTCACGCCTGTAATCCCAGCACTTTGGGAGGCTGAGTCAGGAGGATTGCTTGAGGTCAGGAGTTTGAGACCAGCCTAGGCAACAAAGCAAGAACTTTGGTTGAAGGGTATTTAAACCACATCTAATCTAGTCACCTGATACCTAAGATTTATTTACTTATTTAGTCCAAGTCTTACTGTCACCCAGGCTAGAGTGCAGTGGCATGATTGCGGCTCACTACAGCTGCAACATCTCAGGCTTAGGTGATCCTTCTGCCTCAGCCTCCCGAGTAGCTGGGACCATAGGCATGCACCACCATGCCAGGCTAATTAAAAATTTTTTTAGTGGAGACCAGTTCTTGCTGTGTTGCCCTGGCTGGTCTCAAACTCCTAGACTCAAGTGGTCCTCTGGCCTCAGACTCCCAAAGAACTTGGATTGTAAGTGTGAGCCACTGTGCCTGGACACTGAGAAGTATTTAAAAAGTGATTAATATAGAGGCTCTGAGTGAAATGAGTGACAAACTATTGGATTCTAGTTTGTGATGGTGTTCTTGCTAGCTGAGAAGCTAAGGAACACTTCCTGCTTATTTCTAGGTTTTAGACCATTCTGGAGTGTTGATTTTGTTGAAAATCTGAATGTGAAGTCAGATATTAATGTATTTAGAACCATGTTAACATTTATAAAACTTTTTTTTTTTACTTCAAGGTCCTTATGTTATGGCCAGTGTTGCAACAAAAATTTTTCAAGAATTGGTGGAAGGTGTGTTTTACATACATAATATGGGGATTGTACACAGGGATCTGAAGGTAAGTGGGAGCAATGAAATAATTGAAAATAGTGGTAGCTTCTTATCAGGAATGATTTGATGTTGGTTCATTGTATTAAATCATATGCCCTAGTTCATCTTCTTAGGAGGTTATCATTACTGTCATATAAATTACCATTCCATAGGTCCAGAACATGAACATCTCAGGTTGAATTTTTTAAAGCAGTAATTTCTGGGCATTTGAAGATTCTCTTTGGAATACGAGTACAGTTTTTCAGATAGTATGAGGTCTGATAATTAAGTTCGTGAACTTGTCACGATGTGCTTACATTGGCAGTGCTGTACAAACAACTCTGTACGGTTTCGTAACCTTGGTATATCATTGTCTTACAGCTGTGTTTGTGTCGACGTGTGGCAGTGTCTTGCTGAGTGGCATTCATTATTGTTGCATGTTTTCATGTGTTGTCATGAGAGTGTTGGAGCTCGAATTTGAGTAATGAACAAACATTAAATTTCTTGTTAAACTTGGCAAGAGTGGAAGTGAAATCAGGGACATGTTAGTCCAAGTTCATGGGGATAATGCTATGAAGAAATGGCAGTTTATAAATGGATTAAACGTTTTTCTAAGGGGAGAGAAAATGTCCCTGAAGAATGAGAGGTCAGGATGGCCAGTAATGAACAGAACTGATGAAAAACATTGCAAAAATGCATCAAATCGTGCATCGAAATCATTGACTGACTGTGAGAAACACAGCAGACCAAATAAACATCGTTAGAGAAACAGTAAGTTTCTAACTGAAAATTTTGGCATGAGAAAGGTATGTGCAAAAAATGGTCCTGAAGGAGCTCTTGTATCACAACAGTGTAGCAGCTCACACAGCACTGTCTGTGAGGGGGTTTTCAGCCAGTAAACAAATAACTGTATTGGAACACCCTCCCTACTCACCTGATCTGACACCCAGTGACTTTTTTCTTTACCTGGAGAGCAAGGGAATTTTGAAAGGAAGACATTTTGGTGACATTCAGGACATCAAGGATAATACAGTGACAGCTCTGATGGCCATTCCAAAAAAAGAGTCTCAAAATTGCTTTGACTGGGCACCGGCATCAGTGCATAGCTTCCCAAGGGCAGTACTTCACAGGTGACCATAGAGCTATTCAGCAATGTAGTACTTTGTCTAGGATGAGTTTGTGAACTTAACTGTCAGACCGTGTTAGTGTGTTCTGGGTACTAATGTAACCAGTAATGCTAAATGTATTTAGTACTAACAGAAATGTTCATGTATTATTGCAGCCTTAGTGGTAAACTCCATTTCTTTAATTATACATCTTAAGAGAAATTTAGCATGGAAATTTTATTTTTCTGTTTTAAAAGAATCTATAACTATTTTTATCTAAAAGACTATTAAAAAAAAGACTATCAAGAAGGTTAGGAAATATACTTATTTCTTTGGCTGAATAATTTCAAGTTAATTTGCTTGCTCTTTAGACAAAAATTAAATTATGGAAAAGGCATTTAAAAGAAAATTTAGGAACAAAAATGCTAATATGCAAATTACTTTATTTTTTGAAAAAGGTTTTTAAGAACCAATAGTTTGTACATTTGGAATATAAAAAGTGACAGGTAAAATATTTTCTGGTACATGTGAGGCCAGAAAATGCAGTTTGACTTCCTGAAATTTTTGGGCACTGTGAAACTTGGAGGTCTTATTTCAAGAGGTAAGCGAATTCATAGTTGCAGTATACAGAATTCCATATCTTCCCTGGGAGAAGTTGCTTCAAGTGTTGTTTGTATTTCTCACCATAAATATTTCTGATGTTTCTTTTACAAATAACTTTTAGGGATAAGGGTTTTTGAGATAGCTTTATTAAAGTTTCCCTTAAGAGGTGGAATTCTGGTAGCATGATTCCTGCAGGTAGATTTCCTTGGTTATTGGTCATTCTCAAAGGATAAGTACAGTGAAGTAGTCTGGCCAGAAGTGCTGTATGTCTTATATTGGAACTGCGCTGAAGGTACATATACATTGGAGATTCCCCATTTCTGGTCAAAATGTTAACATTTGCTTCAAAATCAAGCAGAAGATTGATTATTGCCTCTCTGCCTCTAAAACATGCCTCGTGGATAGCAGCTTGACCTTCATGGTCCTGGGCATTGACTTTGGCTCCATGGATTAGCAACAAATCGATACAGTCAAGTCCTACCGCTAGCAGTTCACCAGCTTTGCTTGATGCAGTGCACACTGCCAGCTTCAGGGCTGTGGCTCCCGTGGAAGAGACAGCACAGTTAACATTTGCTCCACAGGCAATGAGCATTTTCATCATCTCCACATTCAGTGTAGACGCAGCCATGTGAAGGGGTGTCATGCTGGATTCATTAATAGCATTGACATGAGCACCATTTTGAACCAAAATGGAGACAACTGGATAGGTACAGTATGCTATGGCCAGATGGAGTGGTGAATGTCTGTTGCTGTCATCTACTTGAGCGTTAACTTGAGCTCCATGTTCACACAAGATGTGGAGACATATTTTAGCGTTATTCTCAATGTCTGTCAGCATCTTTGGGATTCTCTTGGCCGATTTTGTCCTTGTGGTAGAAGGGATTGGCCACTGCAGTAGCATTAAGTGGAGTGTGGTGAGGCCTCTTGTGTCCCTAGAATGGGTATTGATCACACGTTACACTAAATTCACAGTGGGAATGGCACTATGAAGAATTAATGTGTAGGGAGGCAGTATTTATCCGAAGTAATACCCCTTTAGTTACTTTAAAGGAGTGTCTCAAATTTTGTATTGCTGGGTAATTTCTCAGGCTTTCCCAGGGCTTTGGGGGATGTGGCAGATGCATCATTTCATGGCGAGGCCTAGCCTCTTTGAGCAGCCCATTTCTACTTTGTTGTTCCTGCTAGGCTGTGGCCCCTTCAGAGCTGTATCTTAGTTACTTTGGTAGCTCTAGCACCTTGCACAGTGCTGGGCTAAGTTAGTAGGCATTCAGTAAAATTGTGTGGAGTTGACTATGACTTACTGCCACAGAAGTGAGCCATAAAGGACAGAACTCCCATTTTCTCAGTTCTTAATGGCTCTCTATCTGTTCTTCTACCTGATGTTTTTACTTGTGGGTAGATAACAGAATGGATGACAAGGGTTGAATCTGAAGACCTATGGTTGTTCTGAAATTAGTGAAGCCAATTCATCTTCATTCCCTGCACCAATCCACGTGGTCATGACGAGCATTTTACAACTTGGCTCTCATCTCAGGATTGTTTCCAAAATGCCTTTATTTTGGCAGGGAAAAGGGAAGATTTGTGATGAAAATCTGACTGCTCCACTGAAATCAGAAAATGATTTTAGTTCACGTGTATTTATTTAGCGTGAAGCCCTAGGCTAGGGATATGGCACCAAGCAAGAGGTCCCTACCTTTGTAGGGCTTACAGTCTAGCATTAGCGTGGAAGATAGACATGAAGCATAGTTAAGCAATTAAGCAAATATGGGAAGGGGGCAAAGTTCTAGAGAAGTGCGGAGCCTTACATACTGTTTGTAGCGTGAAGGGTAGGAAAGGGTGCCTGAGGAAATTGCCCCAGAGGAGGATGGGGCAATTCTGTATGGTCCTGATGTGGAAGGCTTTGAGAGGACATTTGCAAAGTGGGGGTGGGGTGCCCAGGGAGAGGTTGAGAGTAAGGCAGGTCAACTGAGTTCTTCTGGAGTGTGGTAAGGGTTTGGGACAAGAAGTTGTATCATTTTTATACTATGTAATTCTTTCATTCATTCAAATAGTACTTTCTGGGCACCTCCCAAGTGTTAGGCATTTGGTTTAGGTGGTAGAGATACAGTAGCGAGCAAGGTAAACTTCCCTTTCATGAAGCTTGCTTTCTAGTGGAGGGTAATACACAGGAAAAACTGTTGTCTACTTAATGTTCTTGTTTTTCATCCCTAACTTAGGTTGTTAAACTTCTTGAGGCTCATGACCAGGACTTAATGCATTTTCCATAACACCACTGTTGAGCATTTAATACTCAGTAATGTATTAGTTTGGCTGACTGGTTTGTGTTGCGTTACTTCTAGTTTTTCAGAGTATCTCATCTAGTCAGTAAATAAACGGATTCATTAAAATGTGGTAATTTGTAGCCCATAACCCATGAAGAATGAACAAGTCTAGACAAAACTGGAAAAAGTTATAAAATGAAAAAATCTATATAAGGTATACTCTAATTTAGAAAGAACTGCCTGCTGTGCTAACTTACCTTACTTCTGGATCAGCCCCGTGCTCTAATAGACAAAGCAAACTTTTTGCCTTGTGGTACTCGGCAGCCAGATGAATGGGGACAATAGGGTGTGTCTGCTTTGGGGAAAAACAAACTGCATTACATGTAGCCCTAGGTAGTTAAAAATAATGTTTGCCTTAGCTTGCCATTTCAAGGGTAATATGTTTATTTAGTATCTCATTGGTTCAATATTTTTCTAGTATGTGCATCAAAATTCTCCTTTGCTATTATCTGTTTCAAATGACCAAAACTCAGTGAATTTTATGTGATAAAATTTGTTTTACAGATTTTCAGAAATACAAACTTACCATGGCAACAAAAATAAGATTTAAAACTTTGAAAGTTGATTCTTATGAAGAGACCATAGTGTAATATTAATGGTAATTGCTATGAAGTCACTTAGTCCTTAAGTTAACCCACAGAGCAATTGACAAGTAGTTGTTATATCTTTGCCAAAGTTACATTATCAGCAGTAAAAACTGAAAAGATATTACAGCATCTGTTCTGTCTATGATTAGCACAGCTGCTTATTCCAGTTCTTAAGACATATATATAGTAGTGGTTGTATAACATGACTGCAAGATAAGTGGAGAGGGTAGGGTGAAGGAGAAAGTGACTTTCTTTTTGAAAAAGTTTAATCCTTTGCACTCAGAGATGTCTCGTAGATCACTTACCTGCAACTTGTCCACTTTTTTTTTTTTTACAAACTAGGGAAAACTGAATCACTTCATGTTAAATAGTATAGCATTGTAACCAATTATTTTATTGTAATGCTATTTGGTTTATAATAGAATTTTGGACATTGAGGAACTTATTTATGACAAAAAAATCAAAATTTGATGTCTCATATTTTTCTAACGTATGGTAATGTGTGAAACAGTCAGTGACATACATTGCAGGTTCATTGATACATATTATGCAGTAATAATTTGTTTCATGTCTTCCACCAGCTGTTTTTCTATTTGAGCAGACAAGTGTAGTCTCATTTTCTTCCTCCCACATTAATAACATGTAATTTATTGTCTAGTCTGTTGTTTAAAGAAGATGTGGAAAGATGCACTTGTGATTCCTGAATGATCATATCTGAGTATATATTCCATCTTTTTTTTTTTAATTTAGGAAATCAAGATTTATTGAGAGAACAGAAAAGCTCCCTGAGCAGGAGCAGGAGGGGACCTGAGTGGGTTCCTCTATTCCATCTCTTTATTTGCTTTTTTATACAGTTTGAGTGGGAAACTTCAAGGAAATAACACATTTTTGAAAAATTTGCTCTGCCATAAGTTTGTCCTGAATAGTCACCAGCAATCTCTTTGTGTCCCTTGAGAGGAGACATCTGAGTGGTTTGCTAGATTTACGATGTCCCCTCAGAAAGGACATCTGGGTGCCAAGGGTTAAATTATAAAGGTAATAATCATTACATAAAAATATAGAAAATGAAAAAATACATATTAAAAAGGGAAAAAATAATTTCATCACACAGGCATAATCACCCTGGGTATATTTGAGAAGATGACATTAATGTTTTTTCAGCCAAACAGGTTCTAGTCTTTTCTCACATCAGTTTGTGTGTGACAAGTGGAAGGGAGGCATCACAGACCTTCCAGAGTTCTGCTCTGTCCGGGAGTGAGCTGGAAATGTATTGTCAAGCCTTGTGCCTTGTAAGAGCAGTAAGGAGTTTGGTGATTTAACAAGCGTTAGATTGTGCTCCTTCCTTTTTTCTTAAAGTAACTAAGCAGAAACGAGGGTACCTGGTTCAGAAGTAACCTGCAACTGGTGGAGTTGGTCAGAATGGTCATGGGCTGGTTGATGGGGTGCTTTCTTAAGAGTGCCTTGATCTTAGTGCAGTCTTCTCTTATTATGGCTTCATAGAGTTTTGTGTGAAGTGCTACAGGTGGGCTGTCTTCCAGGTGCTTGGCACTGTCAATGACAATGTCTCTGCTTCCTCTCTTGGTTATATTTCCCATGAGAAAAAATCTAGGAGTGAGGAGTTCAGGGAAAAATGTTGTTGCAGAATTGGCCAGTTTTCACTCTTTTTATGATGATTCCTTCAGTTTGGTTCTAGAATGGTTCTAGAATTGTATCTGTGAATACAGTTTCATTTTTATTTTGGAACTGAATTTTTTCACACTTTGTTCCTTGGTCATATAATGCCAAATGTCAGCACAGCTTTTAAGCTTCCCTACTCAATCACAAAGTCACTGTCATCTTACACTTTTATTTCTGTTTTCTCTTCCAATTCAGTCATAGTGCAAGCAACTAACAAAGCTGCAACAGGGGAATTTATACATTAAAACAAAAAACTAAAATTGTTATGGCTAAAGCAAGAAAACAACTTTTAGCCTAAATATTTTTCAGTTTTTAGTAGAAGCTTCCCTCCCCTCACTATAAGTGCAGTTTTTCACTGGTATAGGAATAGTTTGGGAGATGTTTGGGGTCGGTGACTTAAATAGAGCCATTTAGTGTAACTTAGTTGTTCCCATCCCTGGCTAATATATGAGTCACCTGGGAGCCTTAAAAAAAAAATCAAAGTTTTAAAAATAAGAAATAACAAGCCGGGCTCGGTGGCTCAGCCTGTAATCCCGTACCTTTGGGAGGCTGAGGTGAGT